TCAAGAATGGCAGACCGAATATAATACCACCGGACGGCGACGCTGTAGCCTTTCTTCAGGCACTAGACATCCAGGCTCCACCAGACCTCAAATGGCAGACAGCAAATCCAGCGGACCTGCAGCTTCTTCCCAGGGAGTGGTATACAGCGGACGAGTGATGGCACAAACCACAGCGCAGACACACCCGAGCACTTCCAGCCTGACCGCCCCGCCTCGGCAGACAAGAGATGTCCGGAGGATATCAGGGGACACTGCTGGCAAGTATGGAACCCCCCTCCTGTTCAGTATGAGAAGCCCAATTGAACAAAACAAAAAAAAACCTTTAACTGAATATCAATTGAGACATCACACCCCAACAAAATCCAACCCAAGGGTAAAACCTCTGTATTTGCCGCCCGGAGGGGGTGGTGGGGGGAGGAAAGCCACTAGGGTACAGGACCCACAGAGACTTTGGGTGGGGGGACTGGAAGGGGCACCGATGAACTGGGGGGACAGTTCTACGAACTATCCCGAGTAGTCTAATTCAGAGCCACCAAGCCGGGACACAGCTAATGTGGGGTTGGGGGGTAAATTAAGGGATATCTGGCACCAAACAGCTAACTGGTACCGGTCTGTGTAGTAGTGTAGATCAACCCACATGATTGACAACCTCTGAAAGAAATAATATGGTGTTTAGCGAACCTCACATATATGATAGGGTTGAACGCCTTGCTACGACATAATGCATTGACAAGCTGCAACCTATGCCAATACCGAATAGTACAAAAGAGGTCCCTAGCTATACCATGAAGTTTAGATCTGCTACATCATGCTGAACTGACAGGTAGGACACAGTTGGGTCAAGCCACCTAAAACAGACACAAGACTAAGCAAAGAGTCCTACCAAGACACCAACACCTACTGAGAACAGGCACTCAGGCTAGACACAGGTTTTAACACAGTTAAACTACACCACAGTGACGCCCATAACCCTTAGAGATGACACCAAATAGCACCACCTACAGACTGTAAACACACGGAGGGGCTAGAGGAGATGAGGATCACACAACGACAAGTACACATTCCCCTTACGCTGAACCCCCCCTCCACCCCCTGACAAGACCACACGAACCCAAGACCCAAGGACACGCCGCAACATGAACCGAAACCTTCCAGGCCTCCAAAAAGACACACAGACCGACGGGCAAGATAGACGGGTCACAGGGACGACCCTGTAGACATGCTCATGCATGTAAAAAAAGGGCCTAGGAAGTAGATTGTACAGATTAGGGCCCATGCATCCGTGTGCTGCCCCCACTGTTGATGGACCCGCAGTGCTGAAGCAGGCGCCCCACACAAGTCTGGCAAGAGATAAGACCAGACGGTTTTTCAATTTTTTCTGTTTCTGTTTATATCTCTATGTTATGATTAACTACCTTTGTTCTTCCTTCCTCCCTCCCCCCCTCATGGTTATCGGAGTAACCCAATCTTGGTGATCACAAGGACAGAGACAAGAGGCACCCCCACGCAAAACCCCCAGGGCCTGCCAGAGGACAACACCTGTAAGTCAGCCCAATTGCACTCACCCCAGACACCACCATGCCCACACGCATCAATTCCCTAAACCTTAAGGGGCTGAATACCCCCAAAAAGTGTAGACTCCTATACAGAGAATTTAAAAGACTAGGCCCAGATATAGCCTTTCTACAAGAAACCCACCTACCTAAGACCCTAGGGATATCCCTTAGAGACCACATATACAGCACAGGCTATGAGGCTAGATCACACTCCAAATGCAACGGAGTAGCAATTCTAATACACAAACGTTGTCCGCCTCGGATCACGGGGGTCAACCCAGATCCAGATGGATGCTACCTAATAATTTCTGGGACGTTATTTGCACACACCATTCACATTTATGAACCATCCAGAGATTTCTGGGGTCATATAGAAGACAAACTGAAAGCTTTACGGCATGGCTTGATCATAATGGGAGGCGACTTTAATGCCGCTCCATGCCCTGCCACAGATAGGGGGACCATAAGGGGCTTACCATGCTCACACGGCAGAGGGAGACAAGACAGACTGATACATGACTTCACCTGCATGAATAGATGCATGGAGGGCCCAACACCCAGGAGAAGTAGACTACACATTCTACTCTACACCCCACGACTCCTACTCACGTATCGACTACTTCTTACTACTTCTTAGTAAACTACCAAGCCATCCAAAGGATCACAAAGTCCTCAGTTGGATCCATCACATGATCTGACCATGCGGACATCAACTTAGAACTAGACAACCTCTGTACCACGACCCTGTGGAGCTGGAAACTAAACACCTCCCTACTGCAAGACCCAGTCATTAAAGAGACTAACTACACCCCCCTTCTCAGAACCTTCAGTGCCGACCTTGACAGGTGGGCAGACAAATCAATATCTTGGATAGGAAGGGTCCATACAATACAAATGAACGTACTCCCCAGACTCCTCTTCCTCTTTCAAGCAAAGCCCATACCTATCACTAAAACAGATCTGGCCCACCTGCAGAGGACAATAGGGGATTTTATTTGGCAACACAAACGACGCAACGACGCAAGTTTCACGCAACGTATTGTATAGGCCCAAAGACGGAGGACGGCTAGGCCTGCCCCACCTCTACAACTACTATCTAGCGGCCCAATTGGCCCAGATTGCCATGTGGCACTAGACATCGGGCGACCGCAGATGGGCGGACCTAGAATCCTGCATAAGGGGAGCAGACCTGCCCCATTCTACAATTGGCTACCAAGGGAACATAGGGCCATCCTACGCACTAGTTGCCCAGCTAGCCTAAACTCCCTGGGACACAGTGGCCCTTAAACACAAATTAACCACCTCACCCTCTCCACTGATGCCCCTGTTGAGGAACAGAGCGTTCCCACTGGGAATGAGGGCCCGAGATTTCAAAAACATTGAGGAGGCGGGTCTACAGAGAGTGATACACCTATATGAAGGAAACCAAATGGTTTCATTTGAGAAGTTGACGGAAAGGACCAGATTACGACCCCCAGACTATTTGTTTTGTGACTAAGAGGCTACTAAAATAGACTGGACATACCCCATTTGCAATACCTTGGGTTGTCTACTATTGCAAATGGTATGCCATCATGGGGGTAATTTTCATTACTGGGCTACCATACGTAACCAATCTGGTGAATTTCAATGTGAAAAAACTGAAACGCAAGCCTTATATTTGACTCTGTAACTTTTGAAAACACCATAAAACCTGTACATGAGGGGTACTGTTATACTCAGGAGACTTCACTGAACACAAATATTAGTGTTTCAAAACAGTAAAACGTATCACAACAATTATATTGTCCATGTAAGTGCCATTAGTGTGTAAAAAATGCAAACAAATGTCACTTTCACAGACGATATCCTCGTTGTAATACATTTTACACTAATATTTGTGTTCAGCGAAGTCTTCCGATTAAAACAGTACCCCCCAAGTACAGGTTTCATGGTGTCTTGGAAAGTTACAGGGTTCAATATAGTGCTAGCAAATTAAATTCCCTGGACTTTTGGCCTGGGTTGTCAGGCAGGTCCCGCAATATATATATATCTATATGTGTGTACATATATGTGTATATATATATATATATTTATTTTTATTTATATATATAGGTATATATATAATGATATATGGAAGAAAGAGAGAGGAGCTATGGGGTGGGGAAACCACCACCACTAACCCACAAAAAGATTACAGAGGTACAAGGGGCGTAACCCCACAATATATATAGAAAAAAAAACAAAAAATGGGGCAGACAGTCCACTCACAAAAAAGTGGGTGGAATGCCTAGCCTCATTCAAAGTACCTCATAATGTAAATAGTCACATAGAAGAGGATAAACAACCTTTATTAGAAAAAAATGCTAAAATGGTATATAGTCCAAATACTATTACCATACACTAAAATAGTGTATTGATTATAAGTTAACCACCAAATTTGTAAAAGCCTGGGAGAGGCTAATCCTGCAAGGTATGTTTGACTTAATAAAGGTGTAAAAATACACCTAAAATAATAAATGGGTAACAAAGCAGGTTAGTCTAAATCCATTCTAGGAAAGGACCCAGCTGGGTAATTGGATAGAAAAAAAGGATAGTCTTAGAGCAGTGTCTGAGAGAATCTGGAAAGGGCAGGGTTAATAGCAACTAATGGGGCGCGCCCAAACTAATATCGAGTAGCTTATACTAAAGAGAAAAGGAGCTAATACCCCATAAAGAGAGGAAAGATAGAACCCCCCCCCTTTGAGTCACCCTAAAAAAACTAACTATCCTAAGAGAAAAAGCAAAACTAACTGCTGCTTCGTGGCAGCCTATCCAAATCCCTAAGTCTGTATCAGGAGAAAATATAGGCACAAACTCATGCGCTGTGGAAACCCAGGTAAATGAAAGATGAGAGTAAAGAAAATCAATTGAGTATAATAGCATCGGCTAAGTTAACCACCAAACTTATAAAAGCCTGGGAGAGGCTAATCCTGCAAGGTATGTTTGACTTAATAGAGGTGTAAAGATACACCTAAAATAGTAAATGGGTAACAAAGCAGGTTAGTCTAAATCCATTCTAGGAAAGGACCCAGCTGGGTAATTGGATAGAAAAAGGATAGTCTTAGAGCAGTGTCTGAGAGAATCTGGAAAGGGCAGGGTTAATAGCAACTAATGGGGTGCACCCAAACTAATATCAAGTAGCTTATATTAAACAGAAAAGGAGCTAATACCCCACAAAGAGAGGAAAGATAGAACCCCCCCCCCCCCTCTGAGTCACCCTAAAAAACTAACTATCCTAAAAGAAACGGCAAAACTAACTGCTGCTTCATGGCAGCCTATCCAAATCCCTAAGTCTGTATCAGGAGAAAATATAGGCGCAAACACATGCGCTGTGGAAACCCAGGTAAATGAAAGATGAGAGTAAAGAAAATCAATTGAGTATAATAGCATCGACTAGAAAATATCTCGACGCGCGTTTCGGCATTTTAGAGCTACCTGGTAAGTGACACGGGAAGCAGTTATAAAGGGGATATAGACACACCCTTCAATTAAAGCCCTCCAATCAAAAGAACACAGGTTGTGAAAGAGTGACAGGTGACCTCCCCTGCATATTGAACCAATCGGAGGAGGTGGGAGTGGTCACCCTATTCACTCAGTATACACTAATGGCAAGTATCCAGGCGACCGGCCTGCTTTGAACACTCTAATTTTTTCAAAGTAAACGCTTCGGGCCCCCGGGACACTCAGTCAAGAGCATCGGGGGGGCGCCGAGAGGCAGGGGCTGGGACAGGCGGTAGCTGGCTGCGAACCGCCAGCTCAAAAAAAAATAAAAAAAAATAGATACATGTTGCAATTAAGGCTCAAAGCTAAAGTAAGTATGTTTTTAACAAAAAAGTAACAAAACATCAAAGCAGATTAGCACAGTAACAACATTCATCCAGAAAGGAGTATAAGGATGCAAGGTTAAATGATAATAAAAATAATAAATATTCAGTTCAAAGGCTAGAAAGAATGGCAAATAATCGCTTTAAGGGAATATTGAGAAATAATAAAAGCCGTATAAGCCTTACTAAACTCTAGGTGTTATATCAAACGAGACTTTAGAGAATAAAAACCATATAGACCTTGCTAGACGCCAAGTGTGTATTGAAAATAAGCTGTTTAAAGGAGACTCACACCATAAAAAGGTTGAGTTTAATACCTGTGTATATAAACGATTGACTGGTATATATATATAAATATGTTATATTGTATATAGACAGGGCTTGCTAAAGAGTAAAGTAACTCAAAAGGAAGGGTGACAGAATATCCTTTATATGACACATGTTAACATGGATGTCCCATGATCCACTTGCCAGTATTAAAGATTGTAACCATACACTGTATACTAAAAATGATCACAGGGAAAGATGAGTGTGTCAATAGGAAGACCAATTATATTATATGTATTATGCAATATAGGAAAAAAACAGATTATAAGAGATATAATTTTATTTAGTTAAAGTTAGATGAAATTTATTAAAGGCAAAGAGCACTAAATAATTCAAATAAATGGAGAAAAAGAAAACCCCTCATTGAGTCCTCTTGGATTGAGGGTATTAAGTTTATAAATCCACCTGCATTCTTTCTGGCGCAGAATTTTGTCAAAATCACCCCGTCTCTGATCACGTTTCACAAGTTCTAAACCACAGAAACGTATATCTTTTGATAACCCACCATGTTGTTCCTTTAGATGTCTTGAAATGGGGGTATCAAGTCGATTTTTAGATGATCTAACGTGTTCTTTAATGCGTTCTTTAAATGGACGAAAGGTTTTACCCACATACATCAACTTGCAACTACAGGTAAGCAGGTATATAACCCCTACTGAGTTGCAATTAAATATATTAAATATTTTTTTTTATTTATTTATTTTTAAAAAAAATTTTTTTACGTATTTGCATATTTATTTTGTTTATATTATATATAAATATATATATATATATATAATGACAATTATATATATATATATTTAATATCATTCTACATGTATTTTGATATTAATATATATATAATTATATATATATATATATTAAAATACACTTAGTGTATGTGTATTTATGTGTATGTATGTATACGTGTATATATATACTTAGATCATATATATATATATATATATATATATAATAAATATATATATATATGATCTAATTATATATAATTTAATTTAACACTGTTTTAAACTTTAATTATTTTTTTTTACAGACAGCAGGGGAGTACCTGTCATTACAGGCACTCCCATAGGCAGCCACTGAAGGCAGACTTAGAGCTGCAAGGTAAACATTGCAGTTTCAATGGAACAACAATGTTTTACATTGCAGCACCAAGTGCAAAGGGGACAGTGCACCCAGACCAATTCATTTAGCTGAAGTGGTCTGGGTGCCTACAGTGTCCCTTTAAGTATTTGCACTTTACTCTTGTATCTCATCATATTTAGTAAAGTTCTATAGCAGAGCTGTTCAGTTCTGCGTACTGCATGTATTCATTTAGTCTTCTGGGTTTTTTTTTTGTTTTTTATGTGTATACTGTTATATTGATAGATATTTTGTTTCAGACCAGACCAATTGTGGCAATATCAAATTTTTAGTATTTATAAAGTTACTTCATAAAGCAAACATTTTTTTGGAGTGCAGTATTAGATGTGTTATTTTTAATTATTTGATAGTAAGGTCTGTAGTAGGTGAACTTTATACCAGCACCAGTAGGAAAGTTGAGAGCTAGTACATATCTTCATTTTTCATATTTGTACATATATATATACTGCTAATACAATTACTCTTCTCCTACCCAGAATGCCAGTCATGTCTTAATCAGTCCTGTTTCAATATTTAGCAGAGCCGCACCAAGCCCACTATTTCTAGTCAAGTATAATTGCAAAACACTTGTCAATAATTAATTAAATTTCTATGTCCAGTAGCTTATGTAAAGCCTACTATCCATGTATCAATCAATTTTTGCCTGGCCACTAGCATCAACCATTAACCAACCATCAACAATCCCAAAAGTCCGAGAGCCACCATACAAGGTACAAACCTATCGATGAAGGTGGCTTTTATAGTGAAATCTTAACAGATGTGTTCAGAACTTTGTTTCCCTAGTGGATTAAGACTGAAGACTTGAACCATGATCTCAAGAAGAGTCACAATGTGCAATATCTTCCAGGATGGTATAGGTTGTGCTAGAACCATAAAGAGAAAGGATGAATACACACGTTACTAAGTTCCGTTATATACTGTGGTGCTTAATTTTGGAACATTTTATATTTAAGAAACAAAACTATGACTTTGACATAACATCTGTACTTTTTTATCTTCCCTAGAATATCCTTTGCTGTTTTATCTCCTTTTTTATTATAGTTATACCCAGGTCTTATGTAGAGCTGAAACATTATTTAAGCTTATTGATATTTGCCTTTCAGAAATCTGAAATTGAATATGCATTGTTATGTTGTTAGTACGAAATACTAGTGTATTTTTTTTTGCAAGCAATATTTTACCAAAACATTAGAATAGTTGACATATTACATACTCTATATACAAAGCTTTGTGGTTTCTTCCTTCAGCTGTTGTGAAAGTAATGTCATTTATCAGCAGGCCTACAGAACAGACATGCACAGAAATGGGTGGAACAGCTGCTCTGTGTGAGGCACCAAAAGGCACTCATGCCATAAAACACTTTTTCTTTCAAGAATTAGTCATACTGAGACTAAAGAGGTATTGTTGCTCAGGTCATGTAGCTCTGTTTATGTAAATTGTGAGAATTTGGTCAGAACTGGAAGTGGCTGATAAGAAAGGCATGATATGTGCAACTTCATTGTATGAATGGTGTACTGAGAAATATATATAATATAAAAAAAATAACACATCTATAGTCCTTATGTATCCATTTATAATAAAATATTAATAAGAATAAAAAGTTAATGTGTAATTACAAGCATTAGGCAGTGTTCTAGAGGTTTGTTAATTGTGTTTAGGCATGCTCAAATGCAGGGATCCGTTGTCCAATGTCCCTTATTCTGAGACCTTCTTGCACTTTTCAAAGTGAAAATTAACATTTATCTTTGTAAATTCTATTTATGATAATTAGATTAAAAAAAACATTTATTTCATTTTTGAAGTTACATTAAAAGTGTTCATATAGTAACCTAAAACAAATAATTTAGCTACTTTTGAGAATATTGGAAATGTTCAAGTTTTTATTAAATATTGTTTTTAGTGATGTCGCGAACCGTTCGCGAACTTCCCGCGAACGGCTCGCCACGGCGGCGAGCTCCGGTCAGCTGACACATCCCGGCCAGTCTCCAGCAGACCCTCCCACTTCCTGGACAGCATCCATGTTGAAGCTGTTCGCGACATCACTAATTGTTTTATTAAAATAAGAATCCCACATGTACACTCTAGTCAAACATGATGGGCACACCAATGTCCAGTGTTCATTTATTCTAGATTATAATTTATCTGGGTAGGGTCCTCATCAGCCTATTGTTCCTGTAACATTTTTTAATTGTCTCGTTTGTTGCTAAATTTAAACTGTTTTAAAAAAAATTGTAAAGCGCTGCGGAATAAGTTGCCACTATGCAAATACCAAAAATAATAATACAAATAATTTTTATTTTTATAGAACAGTAAGTACTTTTCACTTAATCTTCAAGAAGCCTCAAATTGCAGAAGAGGAATGGTGGCTTAAAAGAGGGGAAAATCAATCTGTGACCATCTTGTCTGTGCTGGGTACAAAATACTCTCTCAGGTTAGCCAAACATTTCTAGGGAAACCCCAATTTGGTAAGTGTTTCTTGTCTTGCGGTTTAGTCATTAAGGGCCAATATTTCACATACTCCCACACAGGTAAAAGATTTGAGATTAAAAATTATTATGCTTGTGAATCCACCTTTGTCATATATCTTATCAAGTGCCCTTGCAGCCTTGTCTATGTAGGTGAAACCACAAAGAAAGATAAGGGAATGCTGGATTATCCAGTACCAGCACATTTCTCTGCGAATAACCATTCGGTTGCTAAATTAAAATGGAAAGTTATTGACTCAGTCCCTCCACAAACAAGAGGAATAGATAGACAGAAGGTTCTCAAAAGACAAAAAGCATTCTGGATATATATACTCTAGACTCCTTGTAACCTAAGGTTAAGTAGAGATTTACAATTGTCTTTAGTTCTACGATGTATAGTTTTTCATATCTAATTTTTTCCCATTTTTCTTTGTTTAGTTTTTTTATTACAGCTTCATTCATGCTATGTTCTAATTTGCATTGTTTCTCCTCTCTTTTAGAGTGATCAGATGTGTAACGGAGCTCCCTGTACTCCGACCGAGTACCCTCCGTTGATGGATGCTCCTAGCGCTTCCTGAGGACTCCAAACACTGCAGCCAACACCACAACCACCGCAGACTCCACAACCGCCGTAGCTTAACTGGAGCCTCGCCGTCTTCCGTCCACCCTGGATCAGCTTCTGTCCTCCAGGACCGTGTGGGGAAGACCTCTCCTCCAGGAGAGCATATCAGGAACAAGCTCTTAAAAGAGCTAAGTGATTAAAAGCTCAGGGGAGTATGCAGAGCATAGCAATCCCCAGTGTGATATAGCAGTTCCCTCCAATAACGAGACAAGGCTACGTATTGAGGGTCAAGAAGATCTGATGTTTAATGGCACACACTCTGCTTTTATGAGATTCCGCCCATGCAAGGGAGACACCCACGTAATTAGCAGTATAACCAATCGGAACAATATACATTCGGGGAAATTCCCATCCCTCAGATAATCACATAACATAACTAAAACAGAACAGTAAAAATACAGTCTTTATACATGTACTATAACTTCCAAACTACACATCCAATCTTCATAAAAATTACATATTTGGAATCAATCCATTAAGGGGAGCAACACACCAAAAAATGGCACAAATCAGACAAGGGGTTCAAAAGTCAGCAAAAGTGTCTTTTGGGGCCTGGCTGGCAGCATGGTTTTCTGGCCCAAACCGGTTTCACAGAGGCCTCTATCCTGGACAATGGGGAAAGTAATCCAATTATCCAGGGATAGAGGCAGACTCCATTAACCACATGTTAGCAAAAGACACAAAAAGACACAAAAATACATAACTCCTATTGAACTGAACAGAACCCCCACATTCAACCTATCCCCAGATGGCTTGGATCTGAGCGCTCAATATATCCAAACAGCACTCAGATCCCACAAATACAGTCAAATCGCCATACACACTAGGTCCATAGTCATGGGGCAGAAGGCTGGCAATTAGGCTTCTCCACAACACAGGGAAGCAGGGCAATTTGTCAAATAAAATAACAGTTACAAATGGCAGTTTGTAACAAGATGGTTCCCTGATTTATAGCATATACCTGTGACGTTTGGACAACATGCTGTGTTTCTGTATAGGATCAAAGTTTTTTTCCACTTTTTTGGATTAAAGATTTCTTTTTCACAAATCTGTTGATTAAAAATTCTAACATGTATTGTTACTCATATGCTGCTCTGGAAATGTTCATTTGTAGGAGGATATTCACATTTTTTTAATATATTTTTTTTATCAATAATTAAGACGGTTTTTCCGATAATGACAAAACGTACATTAAGCACAATGAAAAACTGGCATTTATATAGCGCCAGCTTAATACAAATATAACAATGAGACAATTACAAAATGTTGCAGGAACAACATTAGTTTCAATGAATCCAAGTGCAGATTTGTACAATTTATAGTGAAAATAAAAACCACATAAAGTTACATATAATGAAAGGAACACAATGTATTGCAGTGATTGTTGACACGTTACTCCCCGCATTATTATCTAAGCCAACTTGAGTCTGAACCTAATGGAGTCGTGAAAGACTGCTGGAGGTAATTTACCCTCTGGATGAAACAGTCTGTTCCAGTGTAGTTTGTTTCCAAATATAATAATGGTAAATTATAGGGTGGTAAGGAAAGACTTAACCTAAATAACCTTTCATATTCCTACCCACCTAGTTTCTCACTGTCTAGAAACCACAAAACTCTATGTAGTCCATTGTTCGGTTAATTGGAATTTGGCTATCTTACTACATCCATTGAAAAACATGAAATACTTTTGTTGTTGTTGTTGTTCTTTTTAAGGAAAGCTTTTTGCATAATGTAGTCTTGCCCTAAATCATTTAGAACTTTGGTGTAAAATGTCTGTTTTGTGGCTGTATGCTCTGATGGCAGTTTCACTCAAATGTGTGGCTGGGACCACACGATTACTCATTTTACACCACTCTAATAAGAATAACAAAGTGTATAACTAATAGTGAATATTTGCTTTATTAGTCTGTCCAAGCCATCATGCAGACCAGACGTGTTGGCTCCTTCAAAACGTTGTCATTTTGCCAGCCAGGGCTTAAATCTGTTAGAGAGAGTTTCCATTGCTGGCAACAATGTGATTGTGCCATAACTCTGAAGTGAGTCTCTGACCTCGCAACTGTCATTGGAAAGCATGTGTATGTCTGAGCTTATTAGATCTCTTAGTATCTAACAATGTCATTTATTGCACCAGGTAAGCAACCCACAGCCAAAATTCTAAAATTATACATTTTTAAAAAGCTAATAGTATTAATATAGCTTTTATTGTAGTGAGAAGAAAACATATATTCTGCAACATAACATTGTGACTGCCTTGTTTTTGTTAATCAGTGAAATGCTTTGAACTGGTTTCATCATGTTGCTCATTGACTTTAATCCACCATTGTGATATTCATGAATATGGACTATATTCTCACTACAATAAAAGCTAAATGTTAACGTAATTTTTTAGACATAGTATGCTGCAATTTTGATTGTAGGCTACATCTCTGGTGCAAATCATGATGCTTTTATGATGCTAAGTTTACATTGCATAGCTGAAGCATTATACATATGGGGCACATCACCTTTTTGGACAAATTTGTGTTACAATTGTTTTGTTCTCTCTATTAATCTTTTTTAACTCTGATTTCATATGTCCATTTAAGGTAGATTCATTCCAATTTTATAAATTTAAACTTCTTTTATTCCAGTATATTTTCTTTAATTTAAAATTATTTTAAAATAGAATTAATATTTCTCTCTAACCAACCAACCAACCACTGTTGTCTACTACACAGCCACTGTTCCACATTCTGTGCCCAGCAATAACTACATTCCCTTATTTTTTATATATATATAATAAACCTTTATGCAAATGTTTTATGAAAGTAGGATGTAAGAGAGCACAGGACCAACATCAAATAACCAACAAGGCCTTAATGCAACATTAGTTGCTTGTGTTGCGTGCCCCCTGTTCAATGCAACATACATCAGCCATGGATACCATAATTTTGAACATTTAGATGAACATTCATACAACTCGGCAGTAAGAGTTTCCATATAATATATTTCTTCTACTGATGATATCCACTGCTGGAAAACCGCAGATCCCCGTGCATGGGCGTCTGCAGAAATTTGTTTTTTTGGGGGGAGGAGGCATAATTGTGATGACATCCATGCTTGGCCCCTTTTTGACAGTGTCATGAAGGGGAGGGGCATAGTCATTATCACATAAAGCCAGGGTGAATAGCGTTTTCACAACTATGGTGTCAGGAATAAATGTTTGTATTCCTGACACTATAGTGTTCCTTTAAGCAAATTAAAGGACATTTCTGGTCACCATAACAACTTCACCTAAATGAAAATGCTATGATGCCAAGAGGCCCCTGGGTGTTCTCTTTACTTTAACCCCTTAAGGACCAAACCTCTGGAAGAAAAGGGAATCATGACATGTCACACATGTCATGTGTCCTTAAGGGGTTAAGAGGTTAAACAGCTCTCAAATGGTTTAACCCCAAAGGCTTCCTCCAGCTCTAGATCTCCAGCTCGCTCAGTGTTATTCGGCTTCTGAAACAGAGTGTCAGGAAGTTCAGATTGAGGTCAGGCATGGGTGCTGATTGGCTAGAGTGGTCAGCTGACGCTCTAAGCCAATCGCTAGATCCAGGTTCATAAAAATGTTTTACTTTTTTATGAATGGGGAGCTACTGATTGGCTTAGAGTGCTAGCTGACCGCTATAGCCAATCAGCGGCACCCCTACCCAGCGGCAGTCTGTGCTTCCTGACACTCAGTAAATAAGAGTGAACACATTAACACTGATATTTTTTTTTACCTGGGCAGATGAGAAGGTCCAAAGTTTTCTTGCCAGGCCCAGATACCATAGACTTATGATGTGGTGTCCAGATCTCCTTTTCTTCTCCTTCATTTCACACAGTCTTCTTTTTCTTTTGACACTGTCTTCTCTACTCCTCGGCTCCTTCTGCTCCTTTACCTTTTTGCTACTTCTCTTTCTCTTTCTGACCATTTCTACTCATTACAGACCCTTTCTGCTCCCACTCCTACTTTACCTTTGTGCTCCTTCTGCCCCTTCCTGCTCCTTGCTGACACTTTCTGCTCCTTGCTGCCCCTTTTTGCTCATTTCTGTTGCTTCTCCTTTCTGCTCCTTCTCCTACTTTACATTCCTGCTCCTCGCTGACCCTTCCTGCTCCTTGTTGACCCTTTCTGACCCTTCCTGCTCCTTGCAGACCCTTTTTGCTCCTTGCTGCCCCTTCCTGCTCCTTCTCCCACTTTACCTTCCTGCTCCTTGCTTCCTGTAGGCTGCCCCCCCCATCCATCACTTACATTGGCATGCGCAGCCTATTGCATTATGGTGTGCAACCTAAAGTACAAACACACGCCGCATGTATGTATGTGTGTATATATATATATATATATATATACACATACACTGTTGTTTGTGTGTGTGTGTGTGTGTGCTGTTAGTGCGCTGTGTGAGGGTGCTGTGTGTGTAAGGGTGCTGTTAGTGTGATGTGTGTGTGAGGGTGCTGGTAGTGTGCTATGTGGGTGAGGGTGCTGTTAGTGTGCTGTGTGTGAGGGTGCGGTTTGTGTGTGAGGGTGCTGTTTGTGTGCTGTGTGTGAGGGTGCTGTTTGTGTGTGAGGGTGCTATTTGTGTGCTGTGTGTGAAGGTTCTGTGTGTGAGGGTGTTTGTGTGCTGTGTGTGAGGGTCCTGTTAGTGTGCTGTGTGAGGGTGCTGTGTGTGTGAGGGTGCTGTTAGTGTCGTGTATTTGTGAGGGTGCTGTTTGTGTGAGGGTGCTGTTAGTGTGCTGTGTGTGGGGGTGTTGTGTGTTTGCAAGGGTGCTGTGTGTGTGTGTGTTTGTAAGGGTGCTGTGTGTGTGTGTTTGTGAGGGTGCTGTTAGTGTACTATGTGTGTGAGGGTGCTGTATGTGTGCTGTTTGTGTGTGGGTGCTGTATGTGTGTGTGTGCTGTGTGTGTGAGGGTGCTGTGTGGGTGCTGTGTGTGAGGGTGCTGTTTGTGTGCTGTGTGTGTGAGGGTGCTGTGTGTGCGCGTTGTTTGTGTTAGGGTGCTGTATGTGTGTAGGTGTTGTGTGTGTGTGTGTGCTGTATGTTTGGAGGGATTGTGAAGGTGGGGGCAGATTAGTAAATATCCCCCCTCCCTTCTTACCTTATGTAGGTAGGGGGGATCCTTGCTGCCATGTGCCATCCCTGCGGGGCTAGAGTTCACTCTCGCGAGATCAACCTGGCGGAGCTTCTGTCTAGATCTCCCCGGGTCCTCTCCTGCCTCCCTCCATGCTGCTGTGGGCCGGTGAGGTAGAGCTTTGATCTTCCCGCTGGCCCATGGAGGCTTAGAGCAGAGCCGGTACTCAGATAGCGCTGGCACTGCATGAGCCGACAGGGGAGATCCGGAGATCTCCCCTGCCGGCAGGGGTCAAGTCCTGGGGAATAAAGGGTGGGAACTCTCCCAAGATTCCCACCCCCCAAAAAAAATTATATACACTTGTGTATATACATGTGCACACACCCACTTACACACATACACACACATATATAGACACGCATACACACACATACACTCACAGACACACACATACTCAGACACACACACTTACAGACACGCACACATACATTCACAGACACACATGCACACACACACTTACAGACACACACATACTCAGACACACACACATACATTCACAGACACACATACACACACAGACACACACATACTCAGACACACACACACACACACTTACAGACACACACACATACACACACATTCACAGACACACACATAAACATAGACACACACACATAGACACACACACACAGACAGACACACACATACTCAGACACACACACACACACTTACAGACACACACACATACACACACACATTCACATACATACATACACATAGACACACACACACACAGACACACACACTCACAAATAAAAAAAAATTATTAAAAAATGTCCACCCAGCCTCCCTACCTGGAGTGCTGGCGTGGACTTATCCCTGGGGTCCAGTTGGTAGCCTGTCTC